AAACTTGTCTCATAATGGTCGTTTCAGGACATCAAAGCAGCCGACTGATTTATGCGCGGCCGACTTTTGTCGGTGGCCGTCCACCGAGTTTGTCAGTAGTATAGGTCGCGCTCCGGTCGGCCCTTCTCGCAACTTGGCCAGGTAATAAAGAGTGTCGTCGTTTAGACGGTGGTATAAGGCCGACGATAAAACCCGCCACGCTGACTGTGTAAACGTAATTCAAGGCAGGGGCGGGTCTTAAACCGCGGCTGAAGCACCTCGGCGATAAAAGTGTCACCCATTCGCGATTCTGACGTCTCTAGAAATGGAAAAAAATGTTTTTCCTTTGTGATGATGGGCTTGCTGCGTGAGTAAGAACAGTTAGTTGGCAATTAGGGGATTGGAATGGGATGGTGGTACTGAGTGGAGATAGGTATAATTTCCTTACTCCTTGTGCAGAAAGGAATAATATTTTGGTATATGTAGATATAATTTTGTAATTATCTTTGGTGTAGAATTAAAAAGATTTAGAAATTTATCATCTTATCTGATCATTGGATATAAAGGATAAGATTGTGTTGATGTGTGAGTAACTTTTTATATTTGTTCAACTTCATGTTTTATATTTAGCTTCATGTTTCCAAAGAGTTAGATAGATATTGTAAATTATTGTTGAAGGATAATTTTAAGCAATTTATTTAGTGTTTGTATTTCAATATTTTAAAAGATGGTCGAATTTTTTCAATTATTATTTTCTAAAAAAAACTTTAAGCTTTAATTTATAATACTTTATTAAAATTAACTTAATATTGTAATATTGTAGAAATTAGATTGCTTTGTAATAGATTCATGGGAGATAAGTAAATTTATGTATGCAGTTAAATTTACATAATTAATAAAAAATTTCTAAATCTTGGTTTAAAACGACACATCAGAGATATAGGGTTTCTCCGAATCTTTTTAACTTCAACAGATCTTACGTATAAATATACGTTTCTGGTTTCAAATAAAAGTTGGCCAATCTTGTATCTCGCGATTCTTAACTTTGTTCTTCATGTTTCCCATTCGAAACTACAGTTGAGAGTTTCACAAAATAAGAATCGTCGGATATACGCGGTGAATTTTTATTTTTTTTTTTTTAACTATGCTTTCGTTCTTTTTTTTTTTTTT